GCTGGCCGGGGTCCAGATCACCGAGGTCCTGATCTGGCATGAGCACATTTCGTCAAAAGCGACAGCTGCCGAGAAAAAGCTAGGCTATTTGCTCTGTACAAGGCCAAGATAAGAACTAGTCTCGAGCACTGCTCACTGCTCTACTTGTTTTAATATTTTGTGACATTGAGAGAAAATTAGAAAGAAAATGCAGAAGTGGAAGAAATGTTTTCAATGATTTAAATTTACAAAGTTGGACATTTGTTTAACCTTTCCCGAAAAGCCAAGATGCACAGCAAAACCGTACCATTCAGTAAACCAAAATTATTTTTTATAACATGTTGGTCATCTTTCCAATCACATGGGAAGATCATCAAGATTAATGAAAAAATAAAAGCAGAAAAAAGATGCATTTCATTATTGAATTGCGCATAACTCAAAAACCGTTCGACTTTGCACAATAGTATAGGTGGCTCATTGTGTTTTTATTAAGGCTTGCATCAATGTTCCGAACACTCTGTATATTATGATTTTTGTCAAAAAAAAGGTACAGTGAAATTTATTACCGACACCACGCACGTGGAGGTCGACGGTAATTGCAAGAGGAGTCTCCATAATAGTTAGAGCCGAATTGCGAGGTCGGATCACGCACTCATCTGCATAGGTGTTACTTCTTTTTGTAGTTGAGGATGTATGTGGTGATTTTCTGTTATTAACAAGAACTCGGCTGTTTGTCGAGTTGTTATGGAGATTATGAAAATGCTGAAATCAAAATGAGACAGTGCGAAGGTACACCACACACTTTGTATAGTGTATTGCTGCTATGCTTCCGTTCGTTGTTCGAGAGAACAAGCCAAGACTGCTGATGAGTTGCCAAAAATCACGAAACAGCTGTACATGTCTTTGGTCCGATGAACGAAAGAAGAGCACATTTATTATATGCTGAAATCAAGTCTCTTAACGAAACTCTCCATTTTAGTGATTGTAGTCCTGGTTGGGGGGGTATGATTTTTTTTAATGAATTTTAAGAAATCGGTGAATGTTTTCTGAAAATTGGGAGATTACTATATGAACTTTACTGGTTTCAAAATGTCAAGCAGGATCTCATAAACTATATTCATCCTTTTCAGGAGCTACTATTAAATTGTCCGACGGGGCTTCCTTACGAAAATTGATGCCCCTACGGGACGTTACCGAAAACGTTTTTTTCTTAAATAGCGTTTCCTAGAAAAAGAAATTTTGACAGCATAGTTACCAGTGAATCATGTCCAACCGACTTATTTTGAGTCTAGAAATACGTGGTACTTCTATTTCCATTGAATATTTTGATACCATGTAAGCAATAGGCATCTCCGTTAAATCTGCAAACATTCACCGATTCTTTGGCGCGGGAATAAAATGTCCGGGCTATCCCCAAAATCCCGGACTACAATCGAAAAAGCGCAAGTCGGAGGGGTCTGTTATCCGCTGGCTCCTAGACGCGTGTTTTCTATATATATATAGCAATCCAGTCCTCTCCGGTATACGCAACCTATGAAACGTGTGATCCTATAGGGTTCCGGGCTCCTCTGTTCTTCTCAAACCATGGCGCAAGCGCGGCGTACCAGGCTGAAGCGCGCCCTAACAGAAGTCACCAGCGATACTGTGTCCTATGTGAAAACGGTTGGAATCATTTAGAGTCCTTTTGACTTTCTACCCGACAGGCTTTCGTTACGCTTCTCCCCACACGTTCTTTTTCTAACCTCAAAATATTTGCCCGGATTTTGCTAAGATGATGTGCTGTTTTAGAGTGATTCCACGCGTGCGAAAAACTTCAAACGGTATCACGTACTTACAGGAAGCTGTTAGAGGAACAGGTAATGACATTTGAATGTTCGCGCTTTTTTGTGTTTGCTGATTCCACAAATTTGACATTTGATAAATGGAAACTGCGTCAAAATCAGGAATGCATACAAAATAATGTTTCCAACAATATTTTTCTCCATATGATAAGAATTTTATTGACTTGTTTTGCTTTGTCAGGGAATATCTCCCGCCACTTCCTTCATAGTCAAGGAAAATGATGCATTTTATTTTAAGAGAAGGTTTTTTAAATTGATTCTGCGTCAGTTAACTTTTTCCAGCAGATTAACTTTAACATTTTCTGAAATTTTATCACGTATTTACAGGATAAGAAATAAACAGGTAATATACCATTTCAATATTCGCGATTCTGTGTGCTTTCTGAGCTGGAGTCTTTCCTAGCTGCAAGTGCAAATACACCAAATCAAGGAAATGGATAAAAGTAATAAATAAGCTTATATGCACGGTCAAACATAATATTTTTCTTCACGGGATAAACATTTTATTGACTTGTTTTGCTTTGTCGCGAATATTTCACACCGCTTCCTTTACAGTCCAGGAAAATGATGCATTTAAAAAATAGTTTTCTCAAATTGACTCTGCGTCATCTGCAATGTTTTCAGAAGATGACGCATTCCGAACTTTGAAAAAAACTCAAAATTAATTTTCGTGGAATGTTATCACGTAGTTGCAGGGTGAGAAATTAACAGTTAACAGCATTTGAATCTTCACGACTTTTTGTGCTTGCTAAGCTGGAATCTGTGGATTCCATAAATTTTCCAAATCAGCTGCCAAGAAAAAAATACGCAAAACTCAGGAAAATGCATAATAATAATATACCTAATAACACGATCGAACAGAATACTTTTCTCCAAGGGATGAAAACATTGTTGACTTGTTTTTGCTTTGTCGGCGAATATCTCGCACCGCTTCCTTTACAGTCCAGGAAAATAATGCACTTCATTTAAAAAATAGTTTTGTCTAATTGATTCTGCGTCATCTGCAATTTTTTCAGAAGACGAAGCATTCCGAATTTTGAAAAAAAAACACAAAATTAAAGCAATTTTCTTGAAATGTTATCACGTATTTGCAGGATGAGAAATGAACAAGTAACAGCATTTGAATCTTCGCGACTTTTCGTGCTTGCTAAGCTGGAACCTTTGCTGATTCCATAAATTTGTCAAATCAGCAGCCGAGGAATAAATATGCAAAACTCAGGAAAATGCATAAAAATAATATACCAAATAATCTTATATGCACGATCAAACAGAATAGTTTTCTCCACAGGATAACAATTTTATTGACTTGTTTTGCTTTGTCAGCGAATATCTGGTGCCGCTTCCTTTACAGTCCAGGAGAATGATGCATTTCATTTAAAAAATAGTTTTCTCAAATTGATTCTACGTCTTCTGTAATTTTTTCAGAAGCTGAAGCATTCCTTTCAAACAGAATATTTTTCTCCTCAGGATAATAATTTTATTGACTTGTTTTGCTTTGTAATTCTCAGTATTCATGCGTCAATATCACTTAACTCGATCGAAAAATAAGTGGGAGGACCTTTTTGGAAAACACGATATCTATATTGGAGTCGTATATACAGGGTGACTTCAAAGTTGAGTCATTTATTTTAACAGTGAGTAGATCTGATCAAAAGAAATGTTTTTTTCCTTTACCATTTTTCTGGTAAAATTAAAGTAACAAAGTTATAGCCCTTTGGAAGTTTGAGTACCGCCCTGTCTCCATAATAATATTATGTGCTCGTGTTTGGCAACAATGGATATAATCCGCCTTACCGGTTCATCACATCGGAAACAAAAAAGCGAAAGAATTTGGAACGATGTTTTTACAATTATTTTATTCAGTTGTATACAGTCAGTGTCAGTTGGTAACGCGTGAGTGAATAATGGTGTCTGTTGCGTGGCTCAAACGAAATCAAAAATGGCACATGTTTACGAAAATGCTGAACTTGTGGACATGATTCTTATTTACGCGGCATCACGGATTTATGCGGATCGGTTTCCCAATCGAGTGCAACCAACCCCTCGTGCCTTTGTTAATGTAGTACAAAGGGCTTGTGAATCAGGTGACTTATGACCTCACAGGGGAGGGCATGCCGGTGCTCCAAGACCGCACGATCAAATACAGGTCCGCACTGAAATACTTGTCGGGAGGATACTTTATAAAACAAGGTAAAAATTTTTTTTTATTTTTTTTTTATTTTTACACACATATTTTGGTTTATCTTCCTTCTACAATCATTATTTGAAAATTAATGACTCAACTTCAAAGTCACCCTGTATAACAAAATAGGTTAATAACTTAATTACAGAGGAGTTCAAGAATTAAGAAGTAATACGTAATATAATTAATGGAAATAGAAGAATATTTTTTTAATTCGATCGAGGTTAAGATCGTGATTTGGACTACTTAAAATCATTTCAGGGGTAAACAGCTACGAGTTATTCCTTTTACGATCGCTTTAGAATTAAAATACGCTAAGTCTTTAATGTGTATATTTTATGCTTCTAAGGGGATTTACAAGCACGAATAGTCGTAGCACGGAACGTAATAGCATCAATTTATTCAATGAACGTCAATCAACCACTGACCATTTTAAAATTAATTTCAAATTTGGAAAAGTGTTTCCTTGAAAGAACCGACCGCCCAACGTACCCGATGGCACTATAGCTTTTAACGCTTGCTCTATCTCATCCCTTGTAATTCATCGTAACCAATGTATCACTGATTGCTATAGTTTTCTTGCCAATACTGTACGTTACTGCCTTTCATCTAGCCTAGGTTTTCCAAGAAGTTGTTGTCTCTTGTGATACGTAGGGAAAGGGAGAAATTTCATCGCTTTATTTTTTACGAGAAATACTAGAAGGGAAATCTACCTAGCCATAAAAAACAATTTGAATGCACAATCATAAAATGTCAAATAGTGGCGTGCCGTCTAGCCTTACTTGCAGCATTTAAGTTAATTTTGATAATCAGTTTTCAATTTATAAAGCGAAGTTTGAGGAAAAATGAGTTACTTGAAATTAGAAGTATCATAACATTTCAGACAATAAATAATAGTTTAAAAAAAATAAAAAGTAGAAAATAATTTTTAATTACAAAAAGTTTATACGAGGGATGTCTTTTAAGTTTTGCATATGGAAATAAAACAACACGGTAGGTAGTATTAAATCACTTTATTATTTTTCGAAGTATTCTCCATGAAGGTTAATACACATTTGCATGCGCTCGAATCAATTTTCGAAGCACTTATTCCACTCGTTTGCTGGCAGATCCAAAACGGCATTTTTGAATGCGTCAACTGCTTCTTCTGGTGACTGGAACCTTTGACCACGCAGTCTGTTTTTAATTTTCGGGAAAGTAAAGAAATCGTAAGGACTTAGATCGGGAATATATGGAGGATGGTCCAATAATTCCACGTTTTCTTCCGTTAAATACTGCCTTGTTTTTTGGGCTGTGTGCGAGCTTGCATTGTCTTGGTGGAGGATGATTCTTCTTTCGGGGTTGATTTTTCGAAGCTCGGTGATGACTTTTGGCAAACAAATGGTGGTATACCAATTCGCAGTAACAATTCTTTGCTCATTAAGAGGAATTGTTGCAATATGACCCGCTTTTGATACAAATGGCGCGACCATTTTTTTCGAAACACTTCGAGAACGAGTGACTTTTGCTAACTTTTCTTCACCTTGGAACACCCAAACAGCCGAGTGTCGTTTATTTTCTGGTTCATAACAGTAAATCCATGATTCATCACCACTAACAATACTGTACACATTTTTGAGTTTCCGGAATTGAAACGGAAAAGCGTTTTTTGACACCAATTAACCCTGGCTGCTTTCTGCTCTTCAGTCAACAGGTGGGGTATCCAACGAGAAACTAAATTTCTTACTCCTAATTATCCATGTAAAATTTTTTGAATTGAGGTCTTTGAGATCTTCAAGGACACTTCAATCTCGCGATATGTCACATGTCTATCTTCAACGATGCACCCACCCTGGAATCGTCGCTAACACTCACCCGTCCACGTTTGAATTCGCCATACCAACGTAAAATTGTCAACTGATGCGGCGCTTCGTTGCCGAAAACAGACAGTAACTCAGCAAGGCATTCTTGTTGCGATAATTGTCTCTGAAAGTTGTAATAAATTATGGCGCGAAAATGTTCTCGGTTGAGTTCCATTTTTCTAATGACTTGGTGATACTTAAAATTTTACTGTAGTGAGAACACTGCACGTATTGTTGTGAAACTTTGAATTTAAGTTTACTAAAGAGTGAGGTTAAGATTCAGTACTGACGTTCGATCCGCGCGGCCTACTACGTTTCTATATGCAAAACTTAAAAGACATCGCTCGTATTACAGTAGTAGATGGTCGAACAATCAATCATAATTAACGAACTCAAAATAAAATTATAAAATTTAAGTTATTTACAGAATAATTCAATTCAGCCTAAAAAGCGTGGGGTGCATTTTACTACATTTTCATAACTCTTCTCTCATAGATAGTTGCCAACAGAATGATTGTAACATTTAATATATCAAGCAGACCACGCTTTTTACTCTGAATTAGATTATTCTGTTAATAACTTAAATTTTTATTATAATTTTATTTTGAGGTCATTTATTATGGTTGATCATTCGACCATCTACTACTGTAATATAAACTCTTTATAATTGAAATTATTTTCTACTTTTTAGTTCGGTTAGCTATAAAAGCGTGTTTTTCTAGTTTTTTTAAACTATTATTTGTTTTTCATTTTTTTAGTTCGATTTATCCTTTAGTTTTTTGTGGAAATGTAGTATTGAAATGTATTACGAATCATTTCGTAATCTAATCATTCCATTTAAAGCTTCACTGTTGCATGGGGTTTTGCCTGTTACCTTAGAACAATCAAGTTCTTCAATCCCAATACCGTCTAAAGATCTTTCACGACTTAGTGCTACATAAGCTTGTCAGGGAGCAAACAGTCGCGAGCCCAGTGATGGGCGCATTGTATACACCATGTATACGCGTATACAATGGTGAATATATACGCATCGATATTTACGTGTACAATGTATGAAATGTATATAATGTATACAATAGTTCATCTACTTGCATATAGCGCTGGGGTAGAGAGAGAGGGGGCAAGCGGGCACCACTTGTCTAGAACGAAAGCGCCACACACCACGTTGCCTGGCACAACAGTGATGAAGGCCACAGAACACAACTGTAACTTGCTGCAACGCCTTGTTTTCTACGCTCAAATACACATTTCTATCGAATCTATTTGGGATCAATTTCAGATCGATCCTAATGGTTCTCCGATTTTAGGTGAAACTGAAAGTTCAGGATAGATACAAATTCTGCAACATTGCATTATTGGTTTGACTGTGGAAGCAGTTTATAAATAATGAAAAAATATATAATATTCATTTATATACGTATACAAAGATACAGTTTTAAATAAACTAAGAACAACAAATGAACCTAGGTCATCGATTTCTTTGTTCTTTTTAAATGTCGGTTCACTGTTTACCAACTTGCTGACGTTTGCGAATAAACCTAACCTCACTTATGCTATTCTATACATGGTCTTCATCATTGTATAGATTGTATTCATTGTATACGCATTGTATACATCGAGACGTAGACAATTAATGTAAACGCCTATCACTGCGCGAGCCCAGATAAATGACTGCATGATCGACTGAACTCGTACAACCTTGCATCTTGTGGACGGTCGAAGTCCAACTGAGGATTAATGCCAACATTCGCAATGAACAAGGTGAGAATGCATTACCGTGAAAAAGTATCTGCCCCGTTGTGCTGCGCCGAATGCCCGAACCAACAAAGAGTAAGTTCGAAACTGCACGTATATACAGGGTGACTTTGAAGTTGAGTCATTAATTTTCAGATAATGATTGTAGAAGGAAGATAAACCAGAATATGTGTGTAAAAATAAAAAAAAAATAAAAAAAAATTTTTACCTTGTTTTATAAAGTATCCTCCCGACAAGTATTTCAGTGCGGACCTGTATTTGATCGTGAGGTCCCCTGTGAGGTCTTCAAGTCACCTGATTCACGAGCCCGTTGTACTACATTAACAAAGGCACGAGGGGTTGGTTGCACTCGATTGGGAAACCGATCCCCATAAACATGTGCCATTTTTTATTTCGTTTGAGCCACGCAACAGACACTATTCACACGCTAACCGACTGTATGTATAACTGAACTGAATAAAATACTTAATTGCAAAAACGTCGTTCCAAATTCTTTCGCTTTTTGTTTCCGATGCGATGAACCGGTAAGGCGGATTATATCCGTTGTTGCCAAACACGAGTACATGATATTATTATTGAGACAGGGCGGTACTCAAACTTCCAAAGGGCTATAACTTTGTTACTTTAATTTTACCAGAAAAATGGTAAAGGAAAAAAACATTTCTTTTGATCAGATCTACTCACTGTTAAAATAAATGACTCAACTTCGAAGTCACCCTGTATACATACACACAGGCCAAGCTTATAGAAGCGTGTTAAAAAAGGGCCATCAGCCGAAAGCAGTTCTTGAGAGAATGGTTGCCGTCATATTGTAACGACGCCTCTGGTGTCATCCTTGGGATATTGAGACGAGAACAGAATCCAAACAGTGGGTTCATCAAGGATGTCCACCACCTCAAAAAAGCACGGCAGGAACACTGAATTGCTGGCAACAGTTTTTTTGGAACAGCAAGAGCATCTTTCTCATCTCATGGCAACAGAGACAACAAGAAATGCCGACTTCTATGCGAACACGCTTTAAGTGTAAATCAATCAACTATAAAAGACTCGATTTTTCTAATCGGGATGTGTTACTGCTAATGGTGCAGGAATGCAGCCTCTATAGACCATCCTCGGGAAAGTCTGGATATGGCTCCGTCTGAGCTTTATTCCTTTAGAGTACTAAAGAAAATCTTCGAGGACGCCGTTCTGACTATAATGAGGAAACCTCTTTTATAAAGGTATTAGTTCACTAGAGTAGAAATAGCGCAAGTGCATTGATGTCGGGGACTGTAGTGAAAATTATCCAAAAAAATCGGGTACGTCTTTGTTTCATGGCTAGGTAGATTTCTTTTCTAGTACCCCTCGTAATAGTTCTTCTTAAAGTGCTTTGCCCCTCAATATACATTTAAATAACCAATAAAACGTTGTAGCTCTAGAAGGAGCACATATCCCAAATAGTATATATGTATATTTCACGACGTGGTTATAACATTTTTGATATGAGGGTCCTTTTTTTAGTCATAAAATATCATGATGCGGAAATCACGTCTGTCCAAGGTCGAAATCCTGTAAATATAGTGATAACATGCGTATCGAATGATACGATAGTAGAAAATAAGCCCCCGCACGTATCATCCCACATGGTTTAGAAAACTTTCAACATAACTGTCATGCCCCCAAAGACAGAATGCAACGGACCTCTAAATCGAGGATCCTTGTTTCTTGCTAGTCGATCACCTGTGATACTACCCTTGAACTGTGAGTGACTCTTCACCCAGGCAACAAAAACAGTGTCTTTAAAAAGGCAACCATGACAAGAATGACATTGAAAAATGAGTTCGAAGCCGTTGCTGAGATATACGACGCTTTTATTATTGGTTTACCCGTTAAAAAAATGCTCAGCTCTGATAGCTTGCTAGTCTGCGCCCAGATTGCATCTTGATATTTCAAACCTCTATTTCATACTAAAATATGGTATAAAACGATGTTATGTACATGCCAAATAGACACGGATTATATACTGAGTGACAAAAAAAAAGGTAAACACTTACGTATGTTTCTCCGATTTTAATATTTTTTGGCATATATGTTCAGTGTCCCTTACTAGTAAAATGATTAAATTTTTAGCTTGATTTGTCAACTGACCTCAGAAGCTGGTTCAATAATGTGTTGATGATCCACGATTTCTTATACACTCATTGACACGCCTGGCATCGTGCTGATAATCTGGTCGATATCCTGTTGGGGTATCTCATTCCAGGCTCCTGCAACTTCGCAAGTAAGAGCTGCTAAAGTCTGCTTGATGCTGTCCAGAGGAGGGCGGTCCGACTGATCGATGACTCTTCTCTAACAGACAGTCTCGGGACTCTTTCGCACTGGCGGACCGTCGGCGATCTAGCTCTTGTCTACCGCTACACCAACGGGCTTTGCTCCTCACAGCTCTCTTCCATGATGCCGCCGCGCGATGTGCCTGCCAGACAGACCCGCCTGACTTTGGCGTCCCATCCTAACCGTGTCTAACTTCGTACATGCAGAACTGGCCGATACGACCGCTCGTTTATCCCGAGGGTGTCGAGATTGTGGAACAATCTACAAGAGGAAGCTTTTCCAGTTCTACTAACCTTAGGCAAAAATCGTATTAAGAAAATTTATTTGGGATCATCATAGCAGCCGCGGTGTTCCGGCATTTAGGCTTCTGCCTGCGCGGCTGCTTCGATATAAAAAAAAGAAAACTACACTACACGCAGCCACCACAAAAACTTAACAGAAAAACCTGACCATGTGATCACTTGTTCATGGCAAGATAAATCATATGTAAAAAATTCTTGAATTCTAATAATCATAAGTAGGTGTTCACATTTTTTGTCATTCGGTATATCTGAATATGAGTGTGTGGCTAAATGGACTACATTTCGATTTCGTGTATCATCATTGCAGCTATTGTAGGCTATTTTATAGTTTGACATTAATGTTGGCTTGATCGACAACAATAAAATTATGAATTGATTTGCAGTGATTCACCGTAATTTGAAATTATTATTTATGGTACTTACATAAATTATCCATGAATGTTTCGACAATGACGTTTACAATTAACATACTAATTTCGTGTACGAATAGGTGCCTCAAAACATTGAGACATTTTTTAGATTCTTATATGCTTTGCTTCATCGCGTTATGAAGTTTATTTAAGCGCTTGTTTTAGTTGACAGTAGTGACTCTGTCTAAATTCAGTGGTGTAGTAGGACTGTTTTCATCAAATTTTTATTGAAATTTATTTTAGCTACTAGCTGACTCGAAATAATGTAGTTTTGATCACTAGTAAAGGGTTCAAGCCCAAACAACGAAAAAAGTACTCCAAAATTATATAATAATCATAAGTTATTTGCACAATTCATTACAGAATAAAATATTTATGAAGGCATGAAATAAGCGAAT